CCGAAGGGCGTCTTTAGCCAAGACAATTCAAAAACTACGTGACGACAACGACATCGGTCGTGCCCGACATGGTCGAAAACGTCGTCTTCAAGTCGCAGTGGGGTTCGAGCTCCGTGATCTTTCCGTCGGCGGCGCACGCCGACCTCGCCTTTGCGATGCTGACGGGCGTCGAGTCGCGGGACCCTCTGGACCGCGTCGTCAAGGCGGTCGAGATCACCAACAAGACTGGCACCGTCTTCAAGAAGATCAAGATCATGACGGCCAAGAGATAAAACTATTCATGTGACTACCAGTCGATTCTGCATGTACTCTTTTGTCCCCTCGTGCCATGTGCAGCCAAACGACGCGCGCTCAGAGAAGGGTTTTGCGCGTGATGATGGACAGCGGGTACGCGCAACGCCATCCCACACCACGTGGCACGAAAGCACATTTATGGAGGCGCCGCCACGCTTCCGTTCGTGCAACGAAATAGTAGTATATGAAGCGGCTAATTAGTCTCTACAAAAGCGTTAAGGTGGTCGAGCGCTACAAAGGAAAGCTCAGAGAAAACTTCGCCTCGTCGGCGAGGCAGGACGCGTAAAATCCTCGTCCAGGTCATGGTACGCAGACCCCTCAATGTCCGACGTCATCGAGGACGTATCATCAAAGGCCGAGAGGTCCTTCGCGGGGGCGTGGAGGTAGCCAAAATGCACAAGCGGGGCTGCCATCGCCGTGCAGAGCGCCGTTGTCCAGAGCAGAATCACGCCGCCGCCGAAGAGATTCGCGGCCAGTAGCTTGGCGCCAAGTGCATCCTCACACGATTCCCAGAGACCACAACCGGTGCGGTTGGTCTCGGCCGTCGATAGCAAAGTGGCCCAACTGCAATCGAAGGCAGCGTCGAGTCGCGTCGACGTCACGCAGAGGCTCGCCATCAAGAGGCCGTAGAGTCCGTTGCCAAGGTGCACGACGACGACGTCGGTCGTGGCGCCAAAGACGTCGTACTGGTAGAGCCGATGCGTGCCGACGGCGTAGAGCACGGCTGCACCGGCACCGATGAGCGCGGCCGCAAGCGGGTGCACTGCGCTCGCGGATGCTGAGATCGCGACGAGGCCGCTAAGAACACCGTTGTGCATCGCGTCGTCGTCGAGGAGGCGCCAGTGCCAGTGGATGGCGGACGAGAGCAGGCCACTGGTGGCGGCGGCGACCGTGAGGTTCGCCATGCCGCGGAGACTTACGGATGCGCATGCGCCGTGGACGGACGGCGTCGAGATGTGTATCAAGCCGTACCACCCGATCCAGAGGAAGAGAGTGGCGAGCGACCGGTGCGGCGCGACTGGTGTGTGCCACACGACCGACCGATCCCGGGGAAGGAGCACCGAGAGAACACCGACAGCTGCGCCGGCCGTGACGTGCAAGACGGCGCCGCCGCTTAAATCGAGAACGCCGGTGCCAAAGAGGTGGCTGCCGTAGAGCCAGCCGTCGGACGCCCACACGGCGTGGGCCACGGGCGGGTAGACAACGCCAAGAACAAATACCACGTACGCGGCGAGCGACGTGGGCGCCAGCAGCCGCTCGAGACCGAGCGCGAGGATCATCGCGAGTACGAGCGAGACCGTGAGCTGCTGGAACCACTGCGCCAAGTGCAAGCCGTCGTGCAGGGCCGCCGACGAGAGCGCAAAGCCCGTGTAGCCGATGAAGCCATCGCCGGCCCCAAACGCGAGAGCAAAACCATAGACAAAGCTCACGAGCGTTGCAAGAGTGACGACGTGCAGCAGCTTTGCGCCTAGCGTCGCACGAAAGGCGAGTCCTATCAGCAGCAGCAGGATCTGTAGCGTGCCAAAGAGCACCCAGACCACGTCGACGCTGCTGCTGCTGCTGCTGCTGCTTGGACGCGCGAGACAGGCCCCGGTGGCCTTGCAGTCGGCCTCGCGCCAAGGACGTCCACGAGTACGCCGTGGACGTACCGTTGATGATGACCACGATCGTCGCGTTGGCGCCCGCCATCGCACCCGCGTAACCTTCGACGACTGCGGCCTCGAAGATCGCGGATCCTCGAACATCGCCGAGGCGGTATCCGGACGACCGAGAGTGCACTTTCTACCAAATGTCGCGACCAACGTGGCCAGCGCTCGGAGAGGCCTGCGTCCTGTGTGGTGTTGAAGCATTGTCCATCCCCAGGCATACATGGACGACCTATCCGACATGCTTGTCGCTTGCAGGGCTTGGGCAATAGCTTGGCTCATGGCGTCATTGGCTGCAGTCGACACCTGCACACGGAGTAGGACGCGAGTGCATCGATGGCCCGCAGCGGACATGGAACGGCGAAGGTAGCAACGCTTCAAGAGCAAATGGTCAACACTCAACACACTGTCTAAAGTCCTTCGTTTCAAGAGTGTGAAGAGTGGCGCTGGGATGAGACCGCGGGTGACGAACTCCGGGCCTCAAAGTCATCGACCGCGCTCGAGGTTGGCGTGTCTTTCAAGCAGGACAACGCGCTGACCGGACATCATTCGTTCGCCATCATTGCTGGAAGGAGATGCATCGCACGAGGCTGCCGACCATCTATTTCTGGTGCGCCGATTTTAGCGCATCACCATGGACGAGTACGAGCACGCCGACGAGGCGTCCGCCACGTCACCTCGGTCCCTCGACGAGAGTTACAACGCCGACGAGTGGGAAGAGCCGTCGCCAGAGAAGCCACCTGCCCTGCTGCTCACCACCACGTGTCGAGAAGAATCGACGTCGAGTCATGTCATCGCTGAGAACACGAACGCAGCCGCGCAGAACGTCTCCGAGCCCGAGCCCGAGCCCCCACGGCTACCAGGTGGCGATGGCGCGGTGCAAATAGCAGAGAAACCAGACACGGGTCCTTCAACGTCCATCGACGACGACGATCGCGCCGAAGCGAATGCGGCCCTGAGCGAGGCCAGGCTAGAAGAAGAAATTGAGGACCCCGAGTACCCACCCGAGATGATCCGACGTTTTTGTCAGCACCCGAGCTTGGCCAGCAAGCGCAGCACGGAGACCAGCACCGATGCTGCGACGAAACTGGCGTCGGCGCGCGTCAAGGCGTACCGGCAGCTACAGGCGCAGCAAAAGGCCGAGGCCAAGGCAGCCAACGATGCGCACAAGCAAGCCAAGCACGCGTGGCGGCTGACGTACGACATTCCGCGCAGCCGACAAGAGTATCTCGCCGAGTCGACGCGGCGGCGCAAGCAGCTATTAGAAGCGCACGCCGCGACACCGACACCCCGATGGTACCGGTGCGGGCGCAAGACCACGCCGCGCGTGAGCACGGACGACGCGATTGCCGAAAAGCAGGCTTTGGCGCAGCGCGCTCAAGTGGCGTCTCGGCGCAAAGCAGCAGCGCGCCGCGACCACGTCGCCGCGACGCTCGCAAAAGTCGCTGCAACGGCCGCGTCGGCTCGTCATAAAAGCTGCGGGTACGCGTGCGAGCCCGGCTCGTACCTATTGCTCCAAGCTACTCTGCGCTGTCGCACATCCACGTCTTCAGAACCAGTTCAGGATTCTACGATGGGTAAGTGCAACGCAGTAGTAGCTAGGATGGCGGGATCAGCCTCGGCGTGTGTCGAGGTCGCGGCCGTGATGACTCGCTTACTGGACGCCGTTGACGTCGCTCCGACACACCCAGTGCCGTCGACGATGCAGGTCGAGCCCGCACCGACGTCGGACACGGAATTTCAGCCGCCCAGCATCGAGAAAGGGTCGGAGCCACAAGCGTCGACATCGCTGACGACAGAGTGGACGACCGAATCCGAGCCTGAGCCGGACCCGACGACGGTCAAGGACATCTGCGACGCGGTCATGGCAGGAGTCAAGACGGACAACGTGCGCGCACCTGACGCTGTCGCGGGGAGCCTCAAGAACGTGTAGTCTGCCTGCACCACTAGCACGTACTTTCGAAAAGTTATCCTGCGAAATGGCAATGCGGCAGCGTATGCGACATGTATAATGCAATGAAAATGGGTCAAGTTTGACAAAAGGCAAAGTGAGATAGACCAGCTCGTGCACTGCTATAGTCTACCGGGGCTGGCTCAGCGTGCGGTTGGCCTTGAGGTCCACGGGACGCTTGCGGCGCACCATGCTATGTGCCTTGGCTGGTCGCGGGTGGCGGGTGCGCGCTTTCGGTGGCTCGGGTGGCATGGTGGAGCGGTCGATTGTTGGATCGAGCGCCATGCCCGAGAGGTAGAGCCCTTCGATGGTCAGCACGGCCAAGGCGGCGTTGCAGAGCGAGAACGCTGGTGCGGACGGGGCCGTCACCGAGCTGTGGCGCATGCCGCCGACGTGCTTGGCGCGTGCATGCTTGGTAGCGACAAGCGCTTTCGGATCATACACAAAGTCGGTCGACCAACCGTGGGGGGCCATCGGAGGTATGGAATTCAGGAATGGCTCCGACGTTGTGTGGTACGCCCGGAGATGCTGCTTCTCCATGAACGCGCATGATTGGCTCGGTTTTAACATGGCGGCGATCTCGTTTTCGGCTTTAGAATATACCGGTATCTATCTGTTTCACGCATCGAGAAAGGTCGTTTACCAACGGCATATCTCTCGAGCCTCTCCACCTGCAAGGACGCAAAGAGGTGGCTTGCTTCCTATCAGACACCGGCTACTAAGTATGGCCAATCACGTGCGTTGGCCCACAGCGCCACGAGCGCATCATGGGCGTGCTTGCTGCAGTGTACGCGTGCATGGACATGGGTCCTGCGATACGCCGCTTGGAGGCCAATGGCAAGCGTGGTGACCAGACGCCGCAGCCCATGTTTATGCAAGGTCGGCCTCCTCCGCGCGATGGCCCTCGGCGTAGCATGCTTGTGCTAGCGTCGCCATTGCTTTGGCAAGGCTGAATAGCTGGTTCGATTCGTGGCCCGAGAGATGACAAAAAGAGGGTACGCGCGTTCTAGAAGACCAGAAGAACGTGCGTTCTTCCTTACAATTTTCAAATGGCGTGTGTTTTAGAAAGAATGCGTGCGGATTGGTTAAAACTTCTGCTGCGTTGGGCCAATCAAAGACGTGATGCAATACCGTGTCGAGCACCGATAGGCTACACCTGTAACGGGCACCCACAGCACAGCGGCTTCCCGGCCTCCAATTGGTCCACCGTCGGAACTTCAAAGTGGCCGATTAAAATCGCACGCGCTCATTGGCGCACTGGGACATGTACAGCAACCCACAAGGGAGCCAGCTGGCGGGCACTTAACCGGATGAGGCCCACGGCGGAACTTCAACCGGTTTACACAGCCTGGCCCGTATGTGTCATTATTGAATCTCCAGCTTCGAGCTTATTGCTTGTGCATCTCCTCCGCCGTCTCGACCATGAGCGCTACCGTTGCCACGTACCCTGTCGTCTCGCTCGGGGCGCTGCGCAAGACCGCAGCTGCGGCGCCGCATGAGCGCATCGCGCTGGTGCTGGACATGGACGAGTGCTTGGTGCACACCAAGATTCTCTCGGCGACGCCTGAGACGTACCGCCAGGACGAAGCTCGCCCGACCTCGACCGCCGAGGACTACCCCGAGTCGTTCCAAGTGACCATGGAAGACGGCGAGCGCGTGATTGTCAACAAGCGCCCCGGCCTCGACGCGTTCTTGCTCGAGGCCAGCCAGCACTTTGATCTGTACGTCTTTACGGCCGGCCTCGAGATCTACGGCAAGCCGATTCTGGACGCGCTCGACCCAACCAACACGCTCTTCAAAGGTCGCTTCTTCCGCACGTCGTGTACGCAGAAGAGCGGCTTCTTCATGAAGGACCTGCGCTCGATCCGGTCGGACCTCTCCAAGGTCGTGCTCGTGGACAACAACCCGGTGTCGTTCTTGCCGCAGCCGAGCAACGGGATTCCGGTCCCAAGCTTTTACGACGACGTGCATGACAAGACGCTCGAGTCGCTGACCAAGGTGGTCATGACGCTGCGCGACGTCACGGACGTCCGCCCGCGTCTCCACCAGCTCTTTCGCCTCGCGGACCTCCTCGCCGAGCACCGCAAGCTGCTTTGGTGCATGTGAGTGTGTATATTATTATTGTACCGAGATTATTTAGACGGACCGTAGCTATATTGAGTAGCGTATTTAAAAAATCAACTGTTTTTGTACTATTCCATCGTATTTCTGGTTCAACCACCTGACTGCCGCGGTCATTACACACGACGCCGTGCACCTCTGACGAGAATCCAGCGCCGCGTCGTCGGGAACATGTATCTCTTCTCTGGGAACCGAACATGACTCGGCGTCCCGGAGAAGGGCCTTGGGACGGGCGCTTAAGATAGATGGCATCTTGGCTCGGATCCGCGGCCGCAGCACACCAACCGTTGGCCAACGGTAGCAGGCTGCAGTCGGAGGAGGATGCGTGCCAAAGAAGCCACAGCAAGTAGCCACACAGTACACATTACATCTCATGACGAGTAGCTATCGCCTTTCAAGCCGTCGAAGGTTCTCGACGTCGACCGCGTCGGCTGTTGTCCGACGACGATCTCCCGTCGCGAATGACGTGGCGCCGCCGGATGCACGTAAGGGCAGCAGAAACGGCGCTCGAAATAACCTGGTGGGTTTCATCCTACCGAGCACCCGCGTCCGTGACTGCATGGCCGCGCCGCCCTGTTGCGGGCAATCTTGGTCGGACCCCAAGGTACCTCACTTTTGCCGCTTGATCCGCGACGGCGAGGCTGACGTGATGCTGCCCCGACGCCCGTCCGAAGCCAGCGAGGTCGCGGCGAGCCGTGCCAGCAAAGGCCCGTCCGAGGCCGGCGAGCCCACGGCGAGCCGCGCTGCCAAAGGCGCGTCCGAGTCCATCCAAGTGTTTGTCCGTATTCGCCCGCTCATTGAGCGCGAGGCGTCGGGTCAGACGACGCAGCACTACATTCGCGCGACACCCGACAACGTATGCACTGTCTCGTCCAACTTTTCTGACCTCGTATGTCGTGCAGACGATCGAGGTCCAGACCGCCGACGCGCACATCAAGTGCCAGTACGACGCTGTCTTTGGCCCGTCCATGAGCCAAGAAGACGTGTACGACCGCGTGAAGGAGTGTACCGACGCCTTCCTCGGAGGCTTCAACGCAACACTCTTCGCGTATGGCCAAACGGGCAGCGGCAAGTCGTTTACGATGTTTGGCGCCGAGACGGACGAGTCGCGGTACCGGCCGGGCCTCGCCAAGTCGCAAGCCGGCGTCATTCCGCGCGCGATCAAAGACATCTTTGCGGGCTTGGTGCAAAAGCGAGGCGAGCACATCGAGTGCAATCTCTACTGCTCGTTCGTGCAGATCTACAACGAGAACGTGTACGACCTCTTGCGCGACGGCAAGATGGACAAGCCGCTGTCCGTGCACGAAGACCGCGTCAACGGGATTTACGTCGAGGGCCTCTCCGAGTACGCGGTGCGCAGCGTGCACGACTGCCTCGCCCTCCTCCAAACGGGCGAGGACCACCGAGCTGTGCGCGCCACACACATGAACCTCGTGAGTAGCCGTAGCCACAGCGCGTTCCAGATCTTCCTCGAGGCCAAGCGGCCCGACGGGACGCTGACCAAGTCCAAGTTCAACCTCGTGGATCTGGCCGGCTCGGAAAAGTGGCATGCCGACGCGTCCATGCAGGTTTGCATTGCTCTCTGTTTGCTCTATCAAGGTATCAGGAGGTTGATACAAACACGGGTAGTACAACCACATCTCTGAAATGACCAACATCAACTTGAGTTTGCACACGTTGGGTCGGTGCATTGGCGCGCTCTCCACCAAGGTAGCAGCAACGTTTGCCGTCGATCCATTTGTACGACTCCGTAGACGTGAGTAGGGAAGTCATGTGCCGTACCGGGACTCGAAGCTCACGCGGCTCCTGCAAGACAGTCTTGGCGGTAACACCAAGACGCGCATCATTGCGACCTTGTCGCCGTCCATCGACTGCATCGAAGAGTCGATTGCGACGCTAAAATTTGCCGACCGCGCCAAGCAAGTATGCCCCTATTCGTTGTCCGTCACAAAATGTAGGCCCGTTGCTAGGTCATGGTGTCGGTGCGCGTGAACGAGCAGCGGGTGATCGACCCGGCGTATGTCGAGAAGCTCGAGGCTGAAGTGGTTGAGCTGCGGAGCGTCATCTCAAGTCTCGAAGGCGGCAACTCGCCCAACCAAGTTGACTCGCAGCTCGTGCGTCTTCTCCAAGAGAACAACGACCTCAAAGCACAGACAGCCAAGCTTCGACGGGAGCTCGACGCCCGAAGTGGCCCCGAGTCGCTTGCCAGCACGAACAACAACAGCAACGCCAACAACAATGCGACCATGGAGCCAAGCGACGACAGGACCAAGCAGCTTCTGGCCCAGAACCAAGTACAGGCTCAGCATCCCCACACAAACAACATAGGGACACGTGTTGTAGCACATGGAAGGCGTGCTGAGCCGGCTAAAGGATGCCACGGACCGCTTCTTCAAGTTTGAAATCGAAGAAGACGAGCTCAAAACCATTCTCGAGACGTCGTTTCGTTCGCTTGGCACCAATAAGGCCACCGTCTCTGGTCGCCCGCCCGCCCTTACGACGGCGACGACAAGCACCTTTGCTCGCCTTCGCACCAAATGTACTCTGCGAAATACGAGCAATATAGACACCAATGATGCTCTGTAGCGGCAGCGACGGTGCTCAAAACAGCACCGGACGTTGCGTTCCGCGTTCGAGGCAAACCGTCGTCGAGCGAGAGCGAGAGTACGTGGCAGACGGACGCACCACCGCGCGTCTCGGAGGAGGACGAGATCAAGGCGGCCGAGAAGGCGCTGAAGAAGCAGGCCAAGATCCAAGCCTGGCTCCTCGAGAAGGAGCGTCGGGAAATGGCCAAACTCCAGCAGCAGCAAGAGTACATTGACGAACAGCGACGCGCCCAAGCGGAGAAAGACGCCAAGTTTTACAAGCGCGCCATGGAAACGAAGAAGAAACTCTCAAGGTACGAAGATGATACCGAGTTTCATCTATTCAAGCGTTGGTGTGCTAGTGCCGCCCCCGAGGCGTCGACGACCTAGTTGCTTGCCATAAACTGCAAAAGTCCGTATTCACCATCAGGTTGCTGCTCCTGTTGCTTCATCGCACGGATGCGACGGACTTTGAGTCTGTCTTGCGTCGAGATCACCAGGAAATGCAGCAGTGAATGGTTATAGATCTTTGGTATGTCGCCATCCTCAGCGCTTCGATGATTGTATTTGTTTTAACAAGACAATATTGGCATCAAAACTAAATCCACTGTAGTTTCACGTCGTCAATGGATCGAAAGCAACCTCGATACAACACTAATACCTATGTATTGTATAACACTATTAAGCCCAGATGGTGTTGGGGATTGTCGATCCAAACAGCTTGGACAAGTTGCATGGCCACCTTTGTCGACGCTGTGCTCCAGCCCGCGCTGGCGGCCGTCGTCTTTGGCTATCAAGATGGCGTCTACGCAGACGTCGCGGCTCGATTCCGCGACTTCCACCTCCTCGTCGACTTTGAACCGACGCAGGGCCAGTACGAGGGCGTCTACTGTCTCGATCCAGTGCTCTTTAGCACCTCGTACCGGCACCAGTGCGACGCCCATACGTCGGCTAATGTCCTCAGCACGGAGCAGCTCTGCCTCAATTTGCACAACACGCGGGATCCTCGCTTTCCGCTGCACTTGGCGATCGTCGAAGGCGACCTGGCAGCGACCAAAAGCATCCTGCGCTGCCGCCCCGACCTCGCGTACCAAGAGGCCATCGATGCGGCAATTCAACACGACCATCTTGACATCGCCACGTACCTCTTGGAGCAGCGGGTGACGCATGTGCCAGAGCTCAACCGCAACTTCGACGACGAGTATCATGGCCAGCCGTCGCGGCTCCTCGACGATTGGCTACCCTCTAGCCACTCGACCCTCTACAAGAACGATGTGTCCATTTTGGCGTTGCTCTGGGCCCATCGTCAACGCGACTGGGACAGCAACGACCTTGTCTTCGCAGCACTCGAAGCCGACGCGCTCGAAGCACTTGGGTTCTTGATCGCGCATCTGCCACCGTCGGGGCTACACGGCGCCTTGGATCCGGTGGCCGGGCAAGGTCATTTGCCTCTGGTCAAGGCTTTGCATGCCCGGGAATCCTTCTGCACAACCGAGGCAATGGACTGGGCTGCCGCCAACGGTCATCTCGACGTCGTCACCTTCTTGCACGAGAAGAGAAGCGAAGGATGTACGACCAAGGCAATGAACCGGGCCGCGGCCAACGGTCATCTCGATGTCGTCACCTTCTTGCACGAGAAGAGAAGCGAAGGCTGTACGACCAAGGCAATGAACCGGGCCGCGGCCAACGGTCATCTCGATGTCGTCACCTTCTTGCACGAGAAGAGAACCGAGGGCTGCACGATGGCAGCGCTCAGCGGTGCGACGGTCGAGGGGCACCTTGATGTCGTTCTGTTTCTAGTGGAGCACCGTGACGACGGCGCGTCGCATGGCATTCTGGACTCGGCGGCCGCCGACGGCTATCTGGACCTGGTTACCTATCTGAACGAGCTCGGTCGTTTTCCGTGCACGACCTCCGCCGTCGACGAAGCCGCGAAGAACGGGCACCTCGACGTCGTGGACTACCTCTTGACGAATCGACGCGAAGGTGGAAGCCGAGACGATGCCGTGCGAGGAGCTCTTGATAACGGTCACATTGAGATCGTCCAGCGCCTTGTCGCGGCGGGATACTCCCTTCCGACAACCAGTGGCATCCTGAACGCGTTACGCAAGCCACGTGCCCTCGAGGTCATGCAGTACTACGTCGCACAAGGTATCGAACTGTCATCCTCTTGGGCAAGAGATGTGCCACAATACAGCAACAACGACATTGCTCAGTTTTACTTTCAACATGCACCAGCGGCAGTCAAGATTGCTGCCCCAAGTATCCTTTTCCAGTACTATGGCCTGCGTGAAATCCAAACAGCCCTCTCTAACGAAGACTTCGACTTGGTATCGGACCTCCGGACGCGCCAGCCGGAGCTCCGTCACGACCACTTGCTCGAGGTCGTCGTGAGCAAGAACCAGTCGCCCAAAGCCCTTGCGTTCCTTCTTGATGCAGGCGTCGGTCAACCACGAAGTGTCGCTGTGAAGCACATCCATCGCCGGAGCTTCGAAATGATGACCATTCTTCTGCCGTACTGTCTGCACCCAAACGATCCGGTCGAGAACCTCGTCTTCCTCGTCGAGTGGGTCGAGAAGCAGTCCAGCTCTTTTACCAAGTCATTCCTGGTTTTTCTCAAAGCCGAGATAATTGCCCAAGCAACGGCGGCCAACTGCCGTAGCATCCACGCCGGCACCGAGATCGAGGCGCTTACGGAAGCCCTTCTGGAGCGCGGCGCGACCACTTCGTACCGTCAACCAGAGTTTCGGGGCATGAAGCAACGGGTGCTCTTCAAGTCCGGCGTTGCCGACTGGGGCCTTGCGACGCTCTTTGTGCATTTCTTCTCGGTTGATGCGATCAAGCACGCGGACAAGTTGCTTACGTGGCTCAAGAGGGTGACCGACGTGCATCTCAAAGCGCATCTGCAGCACCTGTTTGCGATGGCGCCCGACGCTCTCGTCGCTGCCCAAGCCACCCTTGAAGCCGCCAAGTGGGCGATGTCTTGCGATTACTAACGCGTCGTTAACACCTCCACCGCTTTCTAATAGCGTGGTTTTGATTTGCCTCGCACCCTCGATGCATTAAGCGCACTGCACTGTTGTGTTGACGAGCCTGCTTACCATGCAACGTCGATCATAATATCGACAGTGCATCTACCCTGCAGTCGTGACGAAGTACTAGGTCCTTCACCTGCAAGTTGAGGTATGAGAGCAATCGGTGTACTAACTACCCGCGGTTTCATTGCCACCTTTTGTCAGTCATAATCTGGCCAACGTCGGCAATCCACCGAGCCTCTTTGGCGCAGGATTTATAATATTCCACACTGTAGAAGATCCATGTGCGTTAAATACCTCCGATAAAACCTGTGAGAATGGATGAACTCTTGTATCGAGTATGACGGGATTGGGCGGCCAAAATCACTGGACGGCCACAGCAAGAAAACCTTCCAGCATGAGCTCGTCCATCTCGTTCCTGCTCCAGAGCTTCAGCCGCGCTGCGCAGCCGCAGCATATCTCTGGGCGCGCGGCCCGCGGCCTCTTCGGCGGCAAGGACAAGCGCTTCGGCAACAACGTGTCCTTCTCGCAGCGCAAGACGCGCCGGTCGTGGAAGGTCAACCACCAGTGGAAGCACCTGTACAGCGAGGCGCTCGACGAGATGATCGGCCTCAACGTCACGACGCACACGATGCGCTGCGTGGACAAGGTCGGCGGCCTCGACAACTACCTCATGGGCATCACAAACTACGCCGAGCTCGGCGTCAAGGGCGGCGAGGCCCGGTTCCGCATCGCGCAGGCGCTCAAGGCCGCGCGCACGAAAGCGCCGGCGTCGTAAGTTTACAACCTCCTCCTCAATTAGATAGCCTTGGGACCATACAGTAGTAGCCGACGACGATTAATACGACACGCATGCCTGTCTGACCCTATCCAGGCGTTGCCCATGGAGACATTGCCCACGCGATAGTAGCTGCACGTGTTGCTACCGCGCCTGCATGAGCCCACAGGACGCGAGATGCAACCAAACGATGCAACCGTTGGCCGCGCGCTTGCATGATGTATGTACCTCGCCGGCTGCAATGTCGGCGCCACACTACAGCGTTGCCGCGTCATACTGGGTAGCATGAGTTGCAAGCGGCGCCAATAGGATGGACGATTAAGACTGAAGGGGTGGCAAACTGCGCTCCTGACAATTGAGGCAGTGTGATCGTGGTATCACCATAGCGACGCATCAACCAGAGCATGGACGACGCATTTGTCTTCACTTCGCGCGACCAAGGACCACGCAGGGAGTAGTTTGTTTCCCTTTGCCCGCCGGGCCGCGACTGCGGAGGCAACGGCTTGTTGTCCTTCTCAGTCGTCGTTGTGTGACCCTCGTACATCCTCAGCCAACGCAACAGTCCACCAACTCAGCCCGACGACGGATGAGAAGAGACTCTTCTGCCGAGCAAGCTCACGGCCATTGCATTTCATGAAGCACGTCAACCTCGCTCCGTCATGAACGCCGGTCCAAACGAGTGCAATTTGCTCCAGCCGCCGGCGGAATCGCATCTCTGACTTCAAAGCCCAGTGCCTCTATCGACCACCCTCGTTTTGTAGCAAAGTGTGCTCCTCGAGGCGTTGTGGTGCCTTTGTGTTGCAGGCTCGTTCGCAAATTTAGGCTGTCGCCATGGGCCCATCATTTTTCTGCGGCGTCGCATCACCTGGACAGCTATTCGACTCAGAGTTATCGAACCTACATGCGACGATCCGCTTCATGGCAAACGTCGAGCAGGAACAACAGTTTCGCTTCTACCAGTACGCACCACGAGGGACCGACTACCCTGTGGGCAGTCGATACCGAACATCGATGCGTCCTCAGCGTTGGGATTGGGTTGGCGCGCTGCGACAGCTCCCTACCGCTGCCCTTGGCACAGTCCTTGGCACCCATCCTTGGGTCGCCCGTGGCATGGGTGCCGCCGCGACTGCCCTCGAACGTCTTCTCGCATCCCGCCGCATCAAAGAGCCCATAGCATCGTCATTGTTCGGTCGCCTTCGTGGCCAAGAGTGCCCAGGCGTCACAGCCAACGTTTCGACGGCTGTCGACGTCATCCGATCGGCGAATGTGATGCCGCATCCTTGCAAGCGCACCATCGCGGATGGCCACGGAGGCTCCCGGGTAGGGTCCTATTGCTATCCGCGTCGAAAGACTTGGCGTGTCCTTGCTGACGTGGCGCGGTCAGATCGCATCTGCTGCCTTTCTCGAAAACACTGTGAGAAAGATTGGGTGCGTGGCATTAAATTCTTGTGGCGCGGCGGTTCTTTGTCCTCAGTGGATTTACTAAGACCGCAAAAGAGAGTGGGAGCGTGCGCTGGCAGCGAATCATGGCCGGTCGCGCCCATGCGAAGGCGCACGCAGTTGGGTGCGTTTGACGCTGTCGCCCAAGCTACTTTTCTGCTTCATCGACGGCGTCTGGGTCCTGCATAAATAGCTCTTGGATCGTCGCTTCGCCTTGGATGGTCTATGGTCTTTTACGCCGCTCTCTCGTCTCCCACATCACGGTCGGCCGAGGCGGGCGAGGGATCGCAGGGATGTGCCAAGGGTATTGTGGGGGATCCCCGGAGGTCGTCATTCGCTTAGAAAGTACAAGGTGCATAGCCATGTTCAAGTGTCTGTGGGTAATATTTTGCCATCGGCAACGAAGTGATTTGTATTGTACGCGTAAAGTATTTTATGAGCTCGATGTTTGTATGGAAAACCGCATGGCGTGAATAAAAGCATCGCGGGATGCGTTTGAGGCGAGGGAACCCGACGGGCGGCGCGCCTCTTGCACGTCTGGCACGTGTACTTGTCTAAGCGAATAACCACTTGGCAATCTGGCAAGCAGCGTCCGAAGGCTCATTTTCGAATTTGCTTTCTCGCAAACAAGTCGTCTACTACTACCATGCCCATCCAGTCGATCAAGGCCCGTCAGATCTTTGACTCGCGTGGCAACCCCACCGTCGAGGTCGACCTCGTCACCGAGAAGGGCCTCTTCCGCGCCGCCGTCCCGTCGGGCGCCTCGACCGGCGAGTTCGAAGCCCTCGAGCTCCGCGATGGCGGCAAGGACTACATGGGCAAGGGTGTCTTGACGGCCGTCAAGAACGTCAACGAAATCATCGCGCCCTCGCTCATCGGCAAGAACGAAGTCGAGCAGAAGGAGATTGACCAGTACATGGTCGAAGTCCTCGATGGCACGCAGAACGAATGGGGCTGGTGCAAGAAGAAGCTCGGCGCCAACTCGATCCTCGCCGTCTCGCTTGCCGTCTGCAAGGCCGGCGCTGCCGCCAAGAACGTGCCGCTCTGGCAGCACATTGCCGACCTCGCCGGCAACCCCACGCCGTGCCTCCCGGTGCCCTCGTTCAACATCATCAACGGTGGCTCGCACGCCGGCAACAAGCTCGCCATGCAGGAATTCATGATCCTCCCCGTCGGTGCCACCTCGTTCACCGAGTCGATGAAGATTGGTTCGGAGGTCTACCACCACCTCAAGAAGGTCATCAACAAGCGCTACGGCCTGGACGCGACCGCCGTCGGTGACGAGGGTGGCTTTGCCCCCAACATTCTCGAGAACGGCGAGGCCATCAACCTCATCAAGGAGGCCATCGCCAACGCCGGCTACACTGACAAGGTCAACATTGGCATGGATGTCGCTGCCTCGGAGTTCTACACGGGCAAGGAAGACGCTCGCTACAACCTCGACTTCAAGGACGCCAACGCCCCGGAAGACCAGAAGATCTCGGCCGATGCGCTCATTGAAGTGTACAAGTCGTTCATCGACCAGTGCAAGGACTCGAGCCCGATCGTCTCGATCGAGGACCCGTTTGACCAGGACGACTGGGCTTCGTGGATCAAGTTCACGGAGGCCGTCGGCGACCACGTCCAGATTGTCGGTGACGATCTTACGGTCACCAACCCCACGCGCGTCAAGAAGGCCATTGAGACCAAGGCTTGCAACGCCCTCCTCCTCAAGGTCAACCAGATCGGCTCGATCTGGGAGTCGATCGAGGCCGTGACCATGTCGAAGAAGGCCGGCTGGGGCATCATGGCCTCGCACCGCTCGGGCGAAACCGAGGACTCGTTCATTGCGGACCTCGCCGTCGGCCTCAGCGCCGGCCAGATCAAGACGGGCGCGCCGTGCCGTTCGGAGCGTCTCGCCAAGTACAACCAGCTCCTCCGCATTGAGGAAGAGATGGGCGAGGCCGCTGTCTACGCCGGCAAGAACTTCCGCAACGTCGACGCCCTCGGCAAGTACTCGACCTTCTAAATGCCTTATCCACTTTTGTGTTTGTTTCTTCGAGTCTACTTTGTGAGCCGGCCTTTCTTCATTGTGAGCGACTGGGATTTGAACGCCGAGTAGTGCTCGGTGCCACCATAGACCTTGGGGTCGGCCGCAAAGCTCGTGAGGACACCGGACGTCACGGGCTTGGGTGTCCCGTACGTCGAGAACCACTGCTTAAGCGTCTGCACCTCGGCTGGCGCCGGCGCCGACGATTTCGCGGCTTGGACCTCAATTTCGGCGTCGACTTGGTCGATCTTTTGCTGCAATTGCACGATCGCCGATTGGAGCTTGCGCAGCTCGCCGTTCTTGACGATGGCTTTGGCGACATCGGGCTGCTCGTAGTAGAGAAAGTAGCCCGGCTTCTTGGAGGCCGTGATCGCCGCCTCCAAGTTCTTGCACGTCTTTCGGCTGGCTTCGTTGAGCCCCGTGAGTAGCTCGTGGAACCTATCGGCGCGCTCCTTCTGCGCGAATAGGAGCTCTTCCTTCTTGGCCCGCAATGCCTCCATCGCAAGAATGACACGGCGGCGACAAAGATAGCTTTTGCCACCCTGTAGCCAATCAGAATCATTTCGTGAAAAAGGTAGCCAATCAAATGCATTGCTCGATGCCATTGGCTAATAACGACATTGCATTTGCAAGCAGATGCCAGCCGTGACACCGGCATCGTTCGCTGCGGCCGTCGCCCGCCTTAACGTCGCCTCGGGCCGGTACGCGGTCGCGCTCTCGGGCGGCGCCGACAGCACATCGCTCCTCTGCCTCCTCAGCGAGTGGGCGCCCGAGCCCTCCAAGCAGCTGCTCGCGATCACAGTCGACCACGCGCTCCGCAACGAAAGCGCCGACGAAGCGAGATATGTCGGAACGTTGGCCGCCAAATGCCACGTGCCCCATCAAATCCATACGGTGAGCTGGCCACGAGACAGGGCGCTTGCACGGAGCCAACTGCAAGTGCAAGCGCGTGTGAAGCGGTACGAGTTGCTTCACGAGGTGTGCGTCGCGGAGAAGCTTGACGGGCTCTTTGTTGGGCACAACCTCGGCGACCAGGCCGAGACGCTGCTCATGCGCCTTGGTCGCGGCAGCGGCTGGAGCGGCCTCGCGAGCATCCCAGGCAAAGCGTACATTCCGATCGCGTCGGGCAGCACTGTGCCCCTCTATCGCCCGCTCCTTTGCTTCGAAAAGGACGACTTGAAGGACACGTGCCGCCGCTTCAATATGCCGTGGGTTGAAGACCCTTCCAACGACTCGGACGACTTTGACCGTATCCGCATTCGCAAGGTTGAACAAAGAAGGGCTGCAATCGTCATACTCGAGCCATGCATAGGGCCTGCGCGATCTCAAGGCGACACCGGGCAATGCAGATCTTATGCAGCGTCTGCTCGCGATGCAAGAGCACGCAGACGAGGTGTACTCTAAAATGACGACTACGCCGTCTGACTTGCTCCTACTAGGCGCACGCGGACCTCGAAGAGGCTGGTGGGAGCTGTGCATGTCGTCCTCACAATGGCACTGATTGTGTCGTAGCAACAGCGCTGGTAGAGCAGTACGTCACCACGCAGCCAACATATGTGCTCTTGAGCGACAAATTTGTGGCCGATCCGAAGCTCTTTGACGAGCTCGCGATCCGAGGTACGACGATGGTCCCGTCGCTTCTATTGTTTCTGAATTTCGACGTATTACCACCCAGTGCTATCTCGCCTTGTCCGTGGCGTTGGTCAAAAGCAGTACCCACCCCGCGTCGCATCCGTCCAAGCACTATGGCTGCAATGGAAGCGCGGCCAAATGCGCGTCAACTCGGCCGTGACCGTCGGGGGATGCTTGGTAACCTCAACTCGATGCTTGATTCCGTGTCCCATACGTCCGTCGTGTAGGTCAAGTTAACCCGCACCGGGCTCCTTATCACGGTCGAAGGTCGCGTAGCATCGTCGAGCGAATAACACGGCCTCAGTATTTGTTGCTTGTGATTACGACGGTCGGCTCTCCAACGCCGCTTCGAGCTGCACACGTCGATTGGCTTTGTAGTCATCAATCTGCAGCAGTGCCTGGCTTTCGTCGTCGATCAGCACTTGGTACTGGAACGGCACTGGCCTGAGACTCTCTTGGTGGTGAGCTGCGGCAACTGCACTTCGTCGGCCTTGCGAGCACTATAAATCCATCACATGAGACACGCGTCATGCATGAAGGAGCTCGCGCACCTCGCCATCGCACTGCGACCACGGTGTATCGGCGCCGACGACCGTGGTGGCGCCGGTTGTTTCTCGCCGACCGGTGCGTCCTCCTCGAGCACGGGCAACTCGTCATCGTCCACCACACCGTTGCCGTCGGGCGGTCGTTCTTTGCGCCGGCGCCGAGACGTCGACGCCTTGGCCGCCCGCTTCGTCGTCGAGAGCAGTCGCTTGCGCTCTTGAACGCGCATCGGAAGCGGAATCGCCACGAGTTGCTTCTGGAGCCGCCACGGCAACCTCTCTTCTACAAGCGTACACGCGTCAACTACACCGATGACGTGGCGGCACCTGGGTCGGCCGCAAGATGGAGCGCTGGAAGTGTGCCATGTGGTCGATGTGCCTCGTCGCTCGGGCTGTCCAGCTCGACAGGTAGCTACGAAATGTACCCGTGGCAACCTGCGTCGTCGCGGCGTGTGCTGCGACGCACCGTCGCTGGGAATGTCGAGTCGTCGGCCGTCTCTTTTGTGAGCACGAGGCGCACGCGTCGGAGCATGGCTTCGGACGCCCGAATGTGGGATCGCAGCATCTCGTTCTCGGTCGCAAGCGACCTTTCTGCGTCCTTCGCCTGCGCCAACTGCGCCCGCGTCGCCTCGAGGGTCGCCCGCACACGGGCATTTTCCGCCTAGTACCATCGCATCGAGATTCACAAGAATGAATCTTCTACCTCGAGGGCGGCGACACGGGCCTCGAGCGCCATGGGCGGCAAGATCTCGCGCCGGACCACGTCGCCACTTTCAATGCCCTTGAGACGCTCGGCGAGCCGGAGTGTCGTGCACGTCTCGTCCCACGACGACGTCGCCGGCGTCGCGGTCAGCACAAACGTCGTGAGTCCGGAGGCTTCGAGGCTTGGCTGCAGCAAGCGCGTCAAGATCGACGCGCGGTACGGTATGTGATCGCGTGCTCGGCGCTGGGCGAGCGCATGCACGCACTGCGAGAGATGCGACAAGCTCTTGTGGATCGACGCGACTTCAGGCGTGTGCTGCGCGGGCGCCACCTCCATGCCCCTACGCCGCGCGTCTCTTTCATCGCAAAAAAACAGTTGGAACGCACGCCAAGTCGACCAAGAAAAGCCGGGACGCACGCCGCGTGGGGTCGCGCGGCTGCAGCGTCAACTGAAAGATGACATGGCCGCGGCGCAAGCGTTTGGAGCGGTGGCCGGCGACCTGCGGGCACTCATGGCTCGTTCTTTGGGGCGATCCGTGTACCTGGTTGTAGACGTCGAGTACGTCGTCGCGGGTCTTCATGGCATGGGCACTCAAGCCCTCGATGAGCGTCGCGCCGTTGGCTTGTGTCAGCACTGGGAGGTCGTCCGTGTCATGCGTTGGCTTGGCATGGACGTTCCAGAGCGTCCGTTTGCGGCGTGACCGGGACATGGTGCGCCGAGGCGGCGACGGCGTCATGGTGGCTCCGACGAGCAAGTCGTAGACCTTTTCGTTTGAAATCTAATGTGCGAAATTGGAAAACTCAGAAATGACTGGGTTCGAACCGCGCACCTCAAAGCACGAGCAGTGCACGTCGAGCTCCAGCGACCCGTTTAGTGCATTGAAAAGAGCGTGCACGAGTCGAGGCACGAGCCCGGCGTCGTCAGGGACTGCATCGGGCACCGGCGCCTCGGGCTCCTAGTACGCAACCATTATGCTACAAGCGACACGTCGCCGGATTCATCTACCGCCAGCGCTGTCTCGCCGCCATTGTCGTCTGCTTGATGCATACCGCCGCTCATGGCTACAAGCGATTCGAGTGAGCGATTGAGACTTGGAAGGAACTCGAACTGTGAGTTTTGCCCGAGCCTTTCTGGCCGCTACACACAGCGTTGATAAAAAGAGAGTCGGGATCGAAGCGCGTACTAGGCGACGATGCTGCAGTCGCGCCCCGAGAGCACTGCGCCGATGTAATCAGCGAGCGTGTCGTACACGATGCCATGCGGCGTCGCGGGCGGGAAGACACCGTCGAGTTGCAGCGCCTTGGTGGCGCCGTGTTTGGCCCACAGCACTCGCTTCTCGGCCTAGTAAACGTCGACGACAAGGACGAGAAGCGGCGAGCGTACTGGTGCGAGGCAGAGGCCGTCGGACACGCCGTCGATGGACGGCAGCAGCACCGACGTTGCGCCAGGCGGCGGTTCGCGCAGACGCAAGAGCACGCGGAAGCCCCGCGCCGCCGCCATGTCATCGCCCATACGCTGCAGCTTTTTTAGCCCAGCCCACCGTTTCGCTCTGCCTATTGGCGCCAGAATATTGTCGGTCTGTCCACAATATTCTGTATTCTGTCCACAATACTCGTTACAGTGTATTCGGTGTTACGGCGGTGCCATCGCTCTGCATGACGCGGGGCCACGACGAGCCTACTCGATGAACGCAGTCGCCGAATTCGAGTTCAAAGGTCGTTTTCAAGCGCGTTGATCTATGCACAATAACGTCATTTCGTCACCACGACAGCCAGTAAGGGAGCGATACGACGTACAAAATCTTCGTCATCGTCGTCGTCGTCGTCGTCGTCGTTCATGTCGGCGTCTTCCTGCGCGTCGGCGACTTCGGAAACGTAGGCGATGACCTTGCTACGCTTCTCGTGGGGTCGCGGCGTGCCATCAAATTTGCGCTTGGGCTTGGTGTCTGTGTCTTCTTCCTCGAGCTTCTCGGCGAGCATGAGTCGCCGAAAGATGTCGTCGTCGTCGTCGTTTGCCCGTGCCGGCGCCGCCTACCATCGAGTTCTGCATGAGCCACGTTCGCATTGCCACTGCGGTTGTACCGGTGGCATCGCTGGCTTGAGCGGCATGGCGGGCTTGACCACCGCCGTCTTCTTGCGCGTCGCCATCTTGGATAAAAAGTCAAACGACCCGCCGGTTGCGACAACGCCCTTGGCCACCGCGGGTTTCGGCGCCGCGACCGGAGCTGGCGGCAAGGGACGTTTTCGCCGCATGGCGGATGTAAACGGCGCCTCAATTTTCTCGGGGAGCGCGTCAAAGGTCACCGATTTGCGATCTTCCGGCGCCTTCTTGGCCGTCACCAGCAGACCCTTGCTCTACACGACACCACGTGACGACGGCCGTCTGCACACGCGACGACGGCGTACCGGCAGCGGCCTCAACTTGGACAATGGCAGCGCGGCCACCGCGTCGCCGACCTCGTGCGGATCCTTCTCGTTCGTTGTTTCCACGTGTTTGGTTTCCTCCTCGTCTTCGTTCCTGGTCGCGTCGACCGGCACGGTCTCGTCGCGGGTCGGCTCCGTCGCGGGCGCGAGCGATCGAATGCGGTACCGATCCTCGCGCAGGCGCATCCACTCGGACGCGCAGTCGATGAGCCACTGCGGACTGACGACGTTGACGCTGGGCATCGCCAGCGCCTACTCGAGCTTCATGAGCCAAGGGACAACGACGTGCCAGTACCTCGAGGTACTTCTTCGTGCCGAGTCGCTTGGGATGGATCACGAGGTGCGTCGTGGGAAAGTTGTCCATGGTCATGCTCGGCTTGGCGCCAAACGAGAGCGCGAGCTTCCAGAGGTAGTCCGACTCGGGCGCGACGCCGATCGGGATGACGCCGCTGAACGCAACGTGGCAGCCGCGCAAGACCGCGTGCCGCATCTGTTCCATGATGGCCTTGACGCTATTGCTGCCAGGCGCGTGGTAGAACTTTTCATGCACGAGCTATGCGCCACAACATATGACAACATGTCCAAACAAGAACGGACGACCGACCTTGAGCACCCGCAGTGCTTTGGTCAAGTGGTTGTCTTGCCTCTTGCGCTCCTTGGTAGACGGCGCGCCGCCAGACGCGTTGTTGATCTCGGCACGCGTGTTGAAGTGGTGAAAAGCTTCAATGATAAAGACATTCCCGGCGTTCTCCTAGACGACCGAGTGAGGCGTCGATGGGACAACGTCGACGGACCTTCCAGACGTCGACGCGGTCGTCAAGCACGACGATCATCGAGTCGTCGCAGGACGGAAAGAGCAGCTACGACAGACACATGAGCGTGCGGCCGATAGATTGATACATCGATACCTTGAGCGACTTGTGGGCGACGTCCGGCGTGTCGGTGCGGGCCACGATGCGGTGGTGGAAGAGCGAGTTGTCCGGGTCGATGATCTCGGCGATGCGCTCGGCGTACTTGCGCGTGCCGTGCGTGTAGATGTGCAAGTCGTAGAGTGATGAGAGCTCGGACAGAAACGTCGAGAGGCCTGGACGCAGCTGAAGCACGTGCTCGTCCGGGATGTCGCGAATGTAGAAGCGCAAAGCGTCCTCTGCAATACCCATAGAAGACAGTTGATGCGAGGGGAGTGCGTACCGTTGATGGCGTCAACCACGTCCTGGGAACGTACGGCGTGGAGCAGCGTGTGGTCCAAGTCGAGCACGAGCACCAGCTTCTTCTGCTTGAGCATGCGCCCAATGTTTTCGCTGTCGAGCTCCTCTACATCGGCAGTATAAGACGCACGGAAACGCGATGGAAAAAGGCGTACGGGCCGTCGCACGGTTGACCTCCATGATTTGGCCCTGCGCCAGGATCACCTTGACCGTCTCGCCGGCTTCGACCTTGGACATGCACACGACGCAGCGATTGTTCTTGATCATCGGATGCATGCACACTTCGATGCGACCAATCTCAATGTCCGTGCCAGGCGCCACGTCGTCGCCGGGCGGTGGCAGGATCGTCAAGGTGCCCGTGGCAGGCGCGATGATGCTCCCAAAGCTGCTTTCCGACGGGCTTCCATACGAGGCAATGATCTGCTCGGCGTGCACGAGCTGTCCATCCGTGCACGTCCAGGACAAGGCCACGTGGGCCTTGCACTGCAACGCGAGGAACTGCGCCGCCATGCCACACCTTTGCGCTCCAGCAAATCGGGATTCTGCCAGCTATTAATAATACGTCGATGCGCAGTATTTTATTATCTTGTGTTTTGTATGCCCTCAGCGACCGGGCAGGCGCTATTCACACGCAACTTTGGTGGGCCGCGTCAGTGTGCGGCCGCGCACGACGGGAGGCCGCCCCACGCAGAGCACACGCAGCGTCTGTGTCTATGCGATCCAACTCGCATGCGCGCGTTGCAAGCCCACCGTACGGTACTTGCCCTGCCACAGGACCACCGATCGGAGCTTAAAAGACGTGTTTTTATCCTGCTACAACGCGATCTTGGCATCACTTGTTGACAACGCAGTGGGGCTCGGCAGCGAGGATCGTCTCGAGGTCCGAGTAGCGCAGCATGTTGGCGCAGCAGATCTCGTCCGTATGGTGCTCGCCGTTCATCATCCGCTTGACCTTGTCCTTGTTTTGAAGCCCGGCTAGTCGTCCATGAGGTCATCATCATGGAGGCCACCTACTTTGCGGCGGCGTCGTCTTGAGGCGCTGCTGCTGGTTGAGTGCACTGCCCGCGACCGTAATCGACGACGGCGACGACGAGAGCGCCATGTTCTGGCGCTGGCTGCGGTCAATCGAGATCGGGTACCGGTGAATGCGCCGGAGGAAGCCATGGATGAGCCCAAACGTCACGAGCCGCCGGACGTCGATGTGGACCAGTGACTTGGCAGTCTCAGCTGCGTCGCATCCCCTCGCTCTAGGAGACCCAAGGGCGTACGTGTTCCAGAGCTGGCTCACGGGTACGCTCGGCTGGAGCGCGCAGTAGATGGAGAAGACGGTCGGGAAGAGCGGCGGCGTGTCTTCGTCCTTGGCAACATACGCGACGCACGCGCGCTACCTCCGTCGTGACGCCTGGATGGCCGGTAGAACTACCTGCAAGTTGGCGTCGTTGACGAGACTCGAAATCTTGTCGGTTGTCGCGTAGATGTTGGAGTGGAGGAAGATGTCGATCATGGTGATGCAACCATAGTACATGAGCTGGCGCATGCAATTCTTGACTGCACGGAATCAACACCACATGAAGACATAGAGGGACGACCCGTACCGATCGAGAGGTCGACCTCGGCGATGACAGCGATGCGCTTGACGTAGTTGACGCCGTCAATGTACGGCACGATCTTCTGCAGCGCCAAGTCCCACTCGGCTAGGCGCACCATGAGCATACGGTCGTTGGAAGAGGCAGGTTCTACCGCTGTTTTGAAGCAGCGTCTTGAGGTCGCGGATCGCGACGGGCACTTCGTGGTCGTAGACGTTGGGTGGCGTCGAGAGCTTGGGGAAGAGCTTGAGGTTGATGATGTTGGCCGTGTCGATGGGGATTGTGCACTCGCCAAAATGCGTGAGATCATGCAGGATCGCCGGCAAGATCGTGGCGAGCGTCGCCTGCACCACATGTCTAGAGCCAGCGAAGACAACCATGATGCACCTTGCTCGCTTCCCGTGAGAGAAAGCCGTTCTCTTTTTCCATGCTCTCCATGAGCGACCCGAGCTACATATTGTCGTGGTAGCATGGGCAACGATAACGCGCATCGCGTGGCATGTACCTTGCGCAAGATGGGCTTGTACGGCGTCGAGTCCATCGAGCGCTGAAAGACAAATCCTGCACGAGCGTGAGCGCCTGCGAGTCGCAGGATGCGGACCGATGTTGAAGAGGAGAGCGTTGCGGTGGTACTTGTCGTCTTCGATGCACACGGGATAGCCCACGATCTTGATGTCCTGCGGACACACTACGCAGCAACTCGAATGGGCATGGAGCCAAGACGAAGGACGCGCCGGACCCGTGATGATCTTGCCGCAGAGCGCCTTGTCGATGATGATGTAGCCCGAGACGCTGTCAAAGACTTCGTTGCTCAGCGCGCTATAAGAAGCTAAGATGCGGAGGCGCCAACGGACGTACTTGGGCGGCGCCTGGTACACGATCTGCGGCCCCGCAATGTTGTCAAACTCGCTATAGAAGATGGCTTGGATCATCCTCGTCGCTGCCAAGAAGTACGCACAAAAGGCCGGTTGTCACACAATTCTTATACTCTATTGTCACGCAACTTTCGCCCCCATTCGCACAGTCCAATGCACATTTCGTCCCATTGACACAGTTAGCCGCGTGCAAAGCGCGCGCGCTTTGGACTCAGGCAAGCCAATCATACCGAGACCATGCGTGCACTACCACCCGCGCGCGACGCAAGGCAGCATCGCAGGTTCAAAGTGGCGTGTGTTTAGCCAGAACATCAGCACGGTGCGACCGGGATTTCTCCGGGGGACGCCAAAGCGTTTGGTGCACTCGTTGCGCTCTCAACGACAGCTTCGACGACGACTCGGTCGACTCGTTGGATCGATGAGATAGCCACAGAAGGTCAAAAGTGCACGACCGTCGTCGGCAACTTGAGCCCGTGCACCTCGCGGCAATTGAAAGGAATGAAAAAGCTGAGAACGGCGCCGACAACGAGGCTGCTGGGTCGCCGACGTGGGCACATGAGCCGCAGATAATGCTGTCATACAACGCAATAGATCGAACGCTGTGTGGTGTCGCGACTTCCCAGGGCAGGCGTTCCACGAAGGGTTCCACAGCGGATCGCGTTTCTGCAACCCATAAATAGTGTGCAATCGAAGCAAGCCAAGCCGAAGCAATAGAATGGTGTTCACCCCCGTGCGTCCGTAGAGACCTCCTCAACAACTCGAGGAGCTGAAAGTGAAAGCACTGGTACACGGCTCAAGCCAGCACAGTGCACCGATAGCAACTGCACACAACGAGAGGGTGTGAATGGTGTGCGATACGTTGAATAGTGTTTCAGTGTAACCCCCGTCGGGTGTGGGCCGAAACGACGGAGAACCGAAAACGTGTGATTGCCACAAGAGCAGCCATGTTCATGCAAGAGGACTCGTTCGAGGACGACGGCCGCGGGAAGCAGCGCGACCTCGCCAAGGACGTCGACAGCCGCCTCAACATCTCGCGCGAGCCCCACCCCAACATGCTCGACGACGACGAGATCGAGGAGATTGGCGGTCCCGCCGGTAGCCGCTCCAGCGTCATCCAGCAGCAGCGCGATTTGCACAAGAAGAAGATGCAGGAGCGCATGAGCGGAGGTACTTGCTCTTGATGCGGCCAAGGCCTCACTGCGCCGAGTAGGCGTCGTGCGCACGACCGGCGCGCGGCAGTTTTCGACCCCGCGCTCGATGGACATTGACGAGAAGCCCTCGTACGTAGCTTGAAGCGCAGACGTCGCCTCAAAGCTCTGTGATCGTAGCCGGTTCGGCCGCGACGACGACTTTATCGATGACCGCGCCTCGGCGAAGAAGGCGGCGCCCGCGCGTTTTGCGCGTGACGACGACGACGACGACGACGACGGAAGCGCCCGGCGCCGATCAACGCCCAAGAAGGCCAACCGCTCGTGGCGCGACGAAAGCCCCGAAGATGATCGCCGAAAGAGCCGACCCGCGGAGAAGGATCGGCGCAAGCCGCGCGCCGGTGACAGCGACGACGACGATGACGACGACGACCGCCGACCACCGATGAACAAGCGCGGGTACAGCTCATAGCGAATCGCACGAGGTCTCAAGACACATGCGACCAGGTCTCGTGGTGGGGACAGCTACCCGGAGCGCACCAAAGGCAGCAGCGAGACGTGGGTCGAGAGCGGCAAAGCCAGCAAGGCCAAGAAGGTAGTTCGTATATACCTTTTGCACTGCAACTCATCGCGCATAGGGCCGCGACCACTCGAGCTCGCCCGACTTGTCGTCCGAAGACGAAGCCAACGACGACGGTGCCGTGAGCACGTTCGACCCAGACAAAGGCAAGCCGAAGAAACCAGTCGTCAAGAAGGGCAAACTCGACCTCCTCGACATGAAGGCCTTTCTCATGCGGTACATCCCTGTCTTCAGCCTTCGACGCGTCACCACATCTATAGGCCCGTGCCCAAGGCGTGCGACGTGGTCGAGTGCTACATTGAGCGCAACCGGTCGGGCTCCAACAAGATGTTCCCCGAGTACTGTTTGTACCTCAAGGACGGAGACCGGTTCCTCTTGACGGCCAAGAAGCGTCCGAACAACCGCACGAGCAACTACCTCATCTCGATGCAGCTCGGCGACCTCGCGCGCAAGGGCAGCGAGAACTTTCTCGGCAAGCTCCGCGCCAACTTTATCGGGACCGAGTTTGTCATTTACGACAATGGCATCAACCCCAAGAGCGCGGACCAGCACACGCTGACGGTCAACCCCGCGGGCATTCGCCAAGAGCTCGGGATCGCAGTCTATGCCAAGAACGTGCTCGGGCACCGCGGGCCGCGCAAGATGAAGGTGTGCGTGCCCCGCGTGCGCGAGGATGGCACGCGCGTGGTGTGGCGCCCCGTCACAAAAGAGGACGAGATGGTCAACAAATGCAAGGAGCAGGACCATACGAACCTCACGTATTTGATCAACAAGCCGCCGCGCTGGAACGACCAGGTCGGCGCGTACGTGCTTAACTTCAACGGCCGCGTCACGATGGCCTCGGTCAAGAACTTCCAGCTCGTGACGCCCGAAGACCAAGAGACGGTATCCACGGCTCTTGTCGAGTGGTCGCTATATCCGCTATGTAGGTCATTTTGCAGTTTGGCCGCGTGGGCAAGGAGCTCTTTACGATGGACTTTCGCGCGCCGCTCTGCCCGCTGCAAGCGTTTGCGATCACGCTCAGCAGCTTTGACTCGAAGCTGGCGTGCGAGTAGATCGCGCGAATACACACCAGAGCTTCTTCTTTCGACGCCACTACGTTTCTTTCTACTATGACTTCGACTAAACGAAATACTAGTGTCTGTATACGTGGTATCGCGTTAGAGCTGCAGGCGCTCCAAGTGCGCCCGGACAGCGTCGAGGTTGCCGACGTTCTTGACCTTGCCTTGGAAGAGGCCCTTGCGGCCACCGCCCTTTCCGTCCAGGAGGCCCGCGACCGTCTTAGCCTCGGCCGCCACGAATGCCTCAGGACCAGAGAGCACCATGGCGCCCTCGCCGCTCTTAGCATTGCCCGACGTGAGTAAAAGGACCTTGGGCGAAGCAGCCGTGAGGGTCGTGAACGCCAGGGAGATGGCTTGGAGGAACGCGGCGTCGGCGTCGTCGCGGTGCAGCATCGCAAACCACCCGTTGGCCGACGACACGACGAGCTGCTGCGCGAGGAGGTGCGCGAGTTCGAGCCGCAGCGCCTTTTGCTCTTTCGCCGCGGCCGACTGCGCCTGAAGAAGCTTGGTAAGGCGATCGTTGTGTTCTTCGGGCGGGCAGCTCCACAGCTTCGTCGCGGCCCGTTCCCGCTCAAACCTACCCACGAGGCTGAGGTTCGCGCATCTGCATGTAATAATGATCCGTACATGGTCGCAAATTCCTTGAAGACGCGGTTGCCCGCGACGAACCAGACGCGCGTGCAACCGCGCGCAACCTCCGAGTAGAGAAACTTGACGCACTACAAGGTCGGGAGGTTGAGACTCGCTGACCTCGTGAAGCGAGATGACTCTACCTGGAGCTGGCCCGTGTGTTGGACGTGCGTGCCACAGCACGGGTTGCTATCAAGCTGGTCCATGACGACGATGCGGACGTCCGAGGTCTCGTTCTTGTAGTGCGTCGTGACCGGACGGGCGGCTGCGATCGCGTCGTTGACGGCCGCCTCGAGCGCTTCGAGCTGCGCGGAAGTCAGCGACGTCGAGTTGAACTCGACGTTGCAGCGCACCAGGCCGAGCGACCACGTGGTCGTGTCGACGCCTAGCGTCGTCTCGGCGATGGCAGAGATGAGATGCTGCGCCGAGTGCTGCTGCATGTGGTCATGGCGGCGCGGCCAGTCCAGCGTCATGAGCACGCTGTCGCCAGCCTGAAACTCGTGACTTGTCTGCAGCACGCAGTGGCCGTTCTCGGGAAAGGCCTTGGTCACGGCAAAGGTCGCGTCGCGCAGCTGCAGTGCGCCGAGGTCGCCGGGCTGGCCGCCGCCCTCCGGGAAGATGACGCTGTCCGCGCAGACAACGTGGAAGGTGTCTTTGAGCTTGGGCGCGCGGACGCACGAGACAACGGTCGTCGCGAGCTCCTTCAAGAACGAGTTGCGCTGGCACGCCAGCCGTCCGAGCGCTGCCGACATCTTGGTGCTAATAAATGGCCACCGGTATCCGGAATCCTTACCCATTGCATTCGGCAATTCTGTCTTCTTAAATACGGCATATAATGCCGAATCTAAGCCCAACGGCAAACTCCGGATTCGGAAGCGATGTCATGTGGTTGTACAATGATGCCGTTTGCTTGCTCGGCTGCATGAAGAGCATATCCCTCCCATGCACCCCTCGTTGTACATAATAAAACAAGAGAGTATGCAGGTACTCGAGTCATGGATGGAACTCGGCGAGCTGTCGAGGAAAGGCTCCATTAGGATCACCAGCGCAAACAGAGCTTGACCAGGCGCAGCAGCAAGGCCCTGTTCTAAGCCTATGGTGTGTAGCAGAACGGTATGTAATAAGCCGTGTGCGAGGCGTCGGGGGCGCTGTCGACTTGCGTGGCGCCCGTATGCGATGCAGACCACTGGATCCTTGGCATATGCCGTGAATAAGGCGTCTTGAAATCGGCATTCGCGCCTCTTTCCAATTTCCGGATACGATGGTGCGGGAATAAGGGAGGTGAATTGAGGCCCAAGTTCGCCAAAGTTTGGGCGTGGCATGAACAACCTCGAGACCATCCGCCGGGGCCTCCTGAGCCTCGACGTGGGCGCGCGGCTCAAGGAGCTCTCGGAGCTATACAAGCACGCGGACGTCTTCCTCACGCCGCAGCTGCCGCGGATCCTTGAAGCGCTCTTCCCGGTCTTCCAGATGATGCTGCGCACGCAGGTCCCGCCGCAGTTTACCAACAACGACAAGAACAAGTGTCGGAAGCTCACGCTGCAGATCCTGAACCGACTGCCGTACAACGAAGCGCTCAAGCCGTATGCGAGCCGCCTCTTGCATCTGCTCATGGAGGTGCTCACGGTCGACAACGTCGACAACTGCCTCATTGCGCTCAAGACCATCTTTGACCTGCACCGCAATTACCGACCAGGCCTAAAGAACGAAGTGCAACCGTTCTTGGAGCAGAGCCAGAAGATGTACAAGAACATTCAGCTCATCATGAAGAAGCAGTTCTCGGGCCCACCGGAGCCGCCGTTGGCGCCGATCGGGACGACGCCGCCAACGACAGCGACCATCGAGGCGACCAAGCCGCCCGTCACCGACACGACGAGTACGACCAAGGACGATCCGATGGGTACCGACGACACGGAGGAGACCAAGGACGACGAGACGAGCAGTAGTGCAGCGCCAACAACTTCGACAACGCCGTCGACGAGCACGGTGCACGACAGCAGCGATGTCGTCGTCTTGTGCCAAGGCAGCGAGTCGTTCAAAACGATGGCCGAGTTTCCCCTGATCATCATGCTGCTCTTCCAGTGCTACCCGAACTACATTGAGAACTACATCCCGATCCTCGTGCCGCTCATGATGTCGACCTTGTCGCTGCGCTGTCCCGAGCTCGCGCCGAAATTGTACCCGACCAAGTACGTGGACTTTCTCGACTGCCAAGTCAAGACGCTCTCGTTTGTGACCTATTTATTGCGCGGGTTTGCGTTGCTCATGCGGCCGTTCCAAGACACGATCTGCGAGAACACGGTCAAGCTGCTCATCGCGTGCCCGAAGGACGCGTTCGTGCTCCGAAAAGATGTGTTTGTGGCCGCGCGCCACATCCTCTCGACCGACTTTCGCCGCGGCTTCTATGGGCAGCTCGAACTCCTCCTCGACGATGACGTCCTCATTGGGAAAGGGCGCTGCGCCTACTACCAGATACGACCGTTGGCGTACTCGACGCTCGCCGACATGGTGCACCACGTGCGGGACATGCTCACGCTGCCCCAAGTGAGCAAGATCGTGGCGTTTTACGGCAAGCGCATCCACGACCCGACGCTGCCCGTGCCGATTCAAACGACGGCGATCCGGCTTCTCCTCAACCTCGTCGACATCAGCGCCAAGAACGAAGACGTGGACGGCTGGCGGGGCCGCAACATTCTGTCGCGCATTCTGCTCACGATCGCGGCCAAGTTTGGCACGACGTTGCACCAGCTGCCGATTGTACTCTCGCTGTCGTCGTCGGTGACGACGAGTGACAAGCTGGGCGACCCGCTCGAGGGCGGCGCAATGGACAAGATCAAGATGTCGGATCTGGTGCCCAAGCCGATCGAGGTGCTCTCGGACGTTGACGCGAAGCTCAAGAGCCTCCTCGCGCCGTACGAGAAGATGCAGCAGTCGTACGTTGGCTTGCCGGAAGAGGAGCCGACGCTCCGGGACGTCAAGTCGCTCCTGCGCACGATGATTCTTGGTATCCGCGCGGTCATTTGGTGCACGGCCAACTACCGGAACCCGCATGCGAAGGATCTCACGAGCATGGACACGGCCGCCGCCAGTGTCGCATCGGCGTCCGAGGCAGTGGATGCGACGCACGTGTACCCGCTCACGGACGACGAGCGCGGTTTGATTGCCAAGGTGCTGCAGAACGGCCTGCGCTGCTTCCTTTTGTACACGCTCTCGGAGAGCTCGGTCTCGGAGGAAAAGCAGATGCTCGACCATTTTGCGGGCGCGTTCACGGTCCTCGACGCGTCGGACTTTCGGGACCTCTTCCTCTCCAACATGAAGCTGCTCTACGAGTGCATTCTGCAGGACCACGCGATCTTGACGGTGCCGCAGCACTTTTTGGCCAACGCCAACGTGAGCTGCTGGTTTGCCGAGATCCTCCTCACGTTCCTCGTGACGCGCATGGACGTGCTCGGCGTGGCGTGCTCGAGCGACGTGCCCGACCTCGATCGCCACGACAAGATTTGCTCGATGGAGAGCCTCGTCTTTGAGCGTCTTCGGCCCGTGGCGCCGCCGCACGAGGCGTCCATCGTTCTCCGACTCTTCAAGATTGTGTTTGGCTCGGTCACGCTTTTCAAGGCCAACGAGACGGCGCTCTTCCCGCACCTCAAGACGATCATTGTGGCGTGCTTGACCAAGGCGACGCACACGACGGCACCCGACAACTACTTGCTCTTGTTGCGCGCGCTCTTCCGGTCGATCTCGGGGGTCAAGTTTGAGAATTTCTACAAGGAAGTGTTGCCGCTGCTGCCGGGTCTTCTCTCGGCGCTCATGCGACTCCAGGCGCACATTCAAAAGCCGGCGCTGCAAGACGTGCTCCTCGAGCTTTGCTTGACGATTCCGGCGCGATTGAGTTCGCTCTTGCAGTACTTGCCGTCGCTCATGAAGTCGGTCGTGGCGGCGATGCTCTCGAAAGGTGAGCTCGCGAACCTCGGGCTCCGCACCTTGGAGTACTGGGTCGACAACCTCAACCCGGACTTTTTGTACCCGATCATGACGTCGCAAGACCGCCTCTTGACCGAGATCATTGAAGCGCTCAACTCGCATCTGCACCCGCCGCCGTACCCCTATGGCGAGCTCGCGATGCGGATTCTCGGCAAGATTGGCGGCCGCAACCGGCAGTTTACCAACGACGTGCTCTTGGTCGAGCATCGTCGGAGTAACCTCGACGGCCTCGTGCTCAGCATGCGCTGGGAGAAAGACGCAGTGCTGAGTCTGCCGCTCGACGCGCACGTGACGCGCGTCTGCGTGCTGCTCCGCGACTATGCCAAGCGCACGGCGTTGACCAAGCCCGAGGTGCCGTCCCCATCCGGACGCATCGAGGCACCGGCGGCCGACGACGACGACAGCAGCGCCAACCTCGTGCTCGAGAAGGACGAAAAGACGCTGCAGCTCGAAGCCGACACGATCCTGCGCGTCCAAGCGACCGTCTTGGCGCAAAAGCGAGATGCGTTTGTTTTTCTCAAGCATGCGCTGGCCGCGCAGTTGCAGCTGAGCGGACTCGATCTGGCGACGCTAGCACATGTTGCGACACCGACGCCGGGCGCCGACGATGCGGCGAAGAGCACGATCGCCAAGGAACTCGAGGAGGGCGCGGTGCCGAGCTGCAACTACCCGACGCCGTCGCGCGACAAGGTCGTCGCCGAGCAAGATGTGCTCAAGAACGTGCTGCGAACGCTCGCTGAGTGCGTCGCCGACGTCGACTTGGCCAGCGACGCGTGGCCACTGCTGCGCAGCGTCTGCGTGCACGTGGCAACGGTCGTTCTGTCGCGGTCGCGCCGCACGCTGCCCAACCCGGACGTGCTTCAAGGACTGCTCAACGCCTCGATCGTTCCGGGGCCGCGCGGTCTGTCGCCGGGGCGGATGCTGGGCACGACAGCACGCATCGAGACGTACCGCGAGGCGTACTATGGTCTGCCGCTGCTGGACGAAGACGTGGTCACGGCGCTCGATGCGTTTGTGCTCTTTGAAGTGCTCGTCGATGTGCTAGCCGACGCCGACGAGAAGGTAGTCGCCGTCGGGTACCGAGCCTTGGACGTTGTCCTCGATGTCGTCGACGCGGTCTGCGGCGACAAGGACGACGTGGGACAAAGCGGTGCGCTTCTGAACGGCATTTGCGACATTTGCACGCACGCGTGCTACGACAAGAGCTCGTGGCGCCACAACTCGGCGGCGCGCGCGGCTTGAGCCGGCTCATTGACCGGCTTTCGGTCGAGTGGTGTCGCGAGAACGAGCTTGGGATCGTGCGGAGCTTGCTCTTTGTCCTCGCCGACCACCCCTCCGAAGTGACGGCCGGTGTTAGTGAAGAGGCTGGCGCGACGTTTCTCGCCCTGCTGCACAAGTGCCACGCGCCGTTCGCGCCCAAGATCGATGACATTGACATGCTCGACGAGCTCATCGAAGAGACAAAGCCATTGGACCTCGGCGTGACCCTTGGCGGCGCGGCGCCCGTGGCCATGCTCTCGGACTACAACACGGAGGTGTTTCTGCTCCTCGTCTCGGAGCTCTTGAGTTCGAGCGCGTCGGTGCGCAAGTTTGCAAAGGAAGCGGTCGACGTGTTTGCAACGTGCACGGGCGGCTCGGTCTCGGCGCTGCTCCGGCCGTACCAGCTCGTGCTCGCCAAGCAGATCATGGGCACGAGTCTGCGTCTCTTGCCGCTCGGCACACGGTCGGGGTACATTGACGGCATGGCGTACTGCCTCTCGCTCTCGCCGCCGCTCTTCTCGCTCAACAAGGACCTGCTCATCTTTCTTCAAGAGGTCTGGAGTCTTGTCTCGGAAGACGGGTCCGGGTCGTCGTCGCCGACGTCCGAAGCGTCGTCGCCGGCGTCGACGCTGCCGACGCTAAGCGAAAATTTGAGCGGTTCCGAGTACCCGTTTGGGCTCTCGCAAATGTGTCAGCTGCGCATCGCCGCGATCCAGCTCCTGCGCGCTGCGTTTGTGAACGACGACCTCCTCACGCAGCACCAGGACGCGCGGAATCGGTTTGTTGGCGTCTTCTTCAAGTACCTCACGGGCCAGCCGTCGGCGCTTCTCGACGTTGCGCAGCAAGCCCTCACGGATGTCATTTTGATGAACAAGCGGACGAACGAGCGGTCGCTGCCGAAAGAGTTGCTGCAGCAGTGCCTTCGACCGGTGCTTTTGAACCTCGCCGACTACCGCAAGCTCACGATCCCGCTGCTGGAAGGCCTTGGGCGGCTTCTCGGTCTCCTCAGCAGCTGCTTCAACGTCACGCTCGGTGAGAAGCTGCTTGAACACCTTCGGCAGTGGCGCGATCCGGACCGCATCATGAAGGCCGGCATCTGGAAGCGCGGAGATGAGCCCAACGTGGCGGCTGCGATCGTCGACTTGTTTCATTTGTTGCCGCCGTCCGACACGTTTTTGGAGCCGCTGGTCTCGTGCGTCGTGGAGCTTGAAGGCGTCCTGCCCAAGTATGGGAGCTTTGGGAAGCTAAGCTCGCCGTACCGCGTCCCGCTCGTGCGCTTTTTGAACCGGTACGCAGCGCAAGCCGTCACGTTCTTCTTGACGCGCGACCGGCTCATCGAGTCGACGTACTCGGCGCTCTTCCAGCAGCTTGTCAAGCTCCCGATGGCGTCGCCGCTGCGGGCGGTGTTGACGTCGGACGCAGGCACGGATGCAATCATCGCCGCCACGTTTAGCCACGCGCTCAAGTCGCCCGTGGCGTCGCCAGCGCCGGAGGTCGACGACGACGTCAAGCTCCAGGCGCAGATTCAGGTGCAGGCGGCGAAAGCAGCGTCGCAAGCGATTGCTGCTGCCAACGCCCAAGGCCTCTCGGCGTCGGCGGCCGAGCAAAAAGGCAAGCTGGCGCGCGCCGCGTTCCTCGCCAAGGCCGCGCCAGTGATGAAGAGCCCGACGCAGGTGCAAATCCAGGCGACGGCGCAGAAGCTCCACGCGCAGACGCTCGCGGCAGCGCAGGCCCAAGGTCTCTCGCTTGTCCAGGCCCAAGCGCGGGCACAGCAGGTGATGAAGGACTACATTGCCAAGCATCTGCA